AAAAAAAAAAAAAAAAAGAAATCCGGGTGAGCGGGCCATCTTCCTGGGGGTGGGGGTGGCGGAGGCCAGCGCCTGGAGCCTGGGGGATGGCCCCTGGGGAGGTCGGGCCTTCGTGGCCTAAGTCACTCCCCTTGTCCTCCGAGGAAGAGGGTCTTTGTTTCATCGCACCCTTTGCTTCTCTCCACACCCCTCAGAGAGGAAAACAGTGCCTTTGCTTCCTTACCCGCCTGTGCCTTCAATCTCTTCTGAGAGCAAGCCGTCCCTGCTGCCCAGCCCGCCCACCAGCCCCATGCGGACCCCTCTGGAGGTTCGACTCTTCCCCCAGCTGCAAACCTATGTGCCGTACCGACCTCACCTGCCCCAGCTGAGGAAGGTGATGTCTCCCCTTCAGTCACCAACCAAGACGAAGCCCAAAGTTGTGAGTATTGATGACCAGGAGCTGGGCGCTGTCGTTTCCTCTCTGGCAGACGATTGTCCTTCTCTGTCCTCAGGTCCTCTTCTCTTGGGAGAGAAGCTTTTAGGGGAGCTTGGGGAGACAGACCAGCCAGAGTCCTGAGGGGTTCCTGAGCCATGAGCAGTTAAGGAGAGGTAGGGGCTCCTGCCATTGTGCTTAGTCTCCCAGAACTGGAAGGGGCCTTAGAGGCGATCTAGCCCACTCTCCCATTTTGCAGCTGGAAAAACTGAAGCCTAGCAAGAGGCAGTGACTGCACTGAGTAGGGTAGAATTTTTGATCTGCATCGTGCAGAGAAGTGTGTGGCTGCCCCATGCAGGGCTCCATGCAAACCTGCGGTTTGGGCAGTGAGCTCATCTGAGCAGAGAGTATCCTTATCTCCACCTGCAGCTGAGGATTGTGCTGGGCTGTGAGGATACATGTGATCTTCACAGTAACCTCCTGGGGTATAGACAGGAAGGTCAGCATCTCCATCCCACAGATAAGAGAACTGAGGCCCAAGGTGTTAAAATTTGCATGAGGTCTCCATATTAGTTAGTGAATCCAATCCACATCTCCTGACCATTCTTTGTGCCATCTGACATGTAACTGGACATTCAGCCCTGGTCCTCAGGTTAGGTATGCGGCCCATGTGGTTGCCTGGGCCAACACCTTGGCTTGCCTGGCATAGAGAGGGGCCAAGCCCTTGGCTGAGTCTGGGAGCACAGAAGGCTCTAAGGAAATAAAAGATGTGGTCAGGTACTGTGATGGCTCATGTTTCCAGGGCAGGCCAACCTTGGCTGGCAAACATGAGGGGCCTGGTCCAAGTGACAGGGAAGCTATAGCAGAGGGGACCTTGGAATGGAGACCTCTAGGTTTTTGCCGACAAGGGCTTGAAGGAGCTTTGCCTGGGCACCGTGTACGTTTAGGACGTCTGACAAGATCAGTGCACAGTGCTGGCTAAAACACACGAGTTCCTATCCCTGGTCTTCACCGTTCACCTGCTTCCAGCCATGGTCTAGAGCCCAGAGCTGGAAGACACGTGCAGGGAACCAGGGTCATTGTGAACTTCTTTATCTTGAGATTTCCTTCCCACTCCCAGATCTAAGAGTCATGGAGCACCACCCACAAAACAGGAGGTCGGAAA